GACAATTATGACATTTCGTATTGATTTTTGCAAGAAGAGGAAGAACTGTCACTTGTTTTGTTATTTTCCTTTTCTATTTCACGAAAGTCTTTGAATAAGAAGACTAAGGAAGGAGCATAATGCTATCCATGTGTTCATGCATGGTGGGCGGAAAAGCTCTCTAGGGTGGGGATCTTTGCCAGTTCTGTTTGACGATTCATTTGACACATTTAAATTTGATTTGAAATTTTGTGGATTTGTCAGTCTTTACGGAGCTTATTTTATGTTATTTATTATTTAATCTACTACTGATAGTTGTATAAAGGTAGTAAATCTAGATGGAAATTGTGGCAGAACTTAAATTAACAGTGACACTATCGCGATTAATCACACTTAAATTAACTAAATTATATATTTTTCTTGCATTTTAGCTTTTATTTATTACTTGTCAAAGATTCGATGTCAAAGAATTTAGATACGTTAATTTGACTTACCTGCTTCAGTAGCGTATCGGATGTTTGTGTTAATAAATACTTATTATAACTTATCTATTTTTATTAGAATTATATATTTTTATAACAATTTTAATAACTACCAACATTTATTCACAAAGTAAAATAAAACAACAAATTATTGAGTCTACCCCACTGTCTTAATCCGTAGTATCTAACTAGCGTGACGTCATAAATCTCGCTCCGAAGCTGTTCTACTAGAGACGGCACCTGATGACATTTTACTTTTGACAATTATGACATTTCATATTGATTTTTGCAAGAAGAGGGAAGAACTGTCACTTGTTTTATTATTTTCCTTTTCTATTTCACGAAAGTCTTTACGAAAGTAAAAAGAGTTACCTATCAGATTCGTTCAGGCACTCAATTTAAAGAATATCAGTAACTTTTTTAACAGATGGATTTTATATTTGCCATGTTGGTAAAAAATAACGGTCAAAATTCAAAGTTATTCATTTTATAGACTATAACGTAGCCACAGCCAGTTTAGTACTCAGCTATCCACAGGAAGGCGCGCCCCGAATGGAGGGAACGAAAATGAACACACTCAAACGAACAGACATTGGCAAACACTCCAACACTCGGTACTTGGAGGCATCGAAATATTCCTGCTTGTGTGTCATCTTATTAATTCTAAAATAGGATTCTTTCAAATTCCGTTTTATATGGATGAATATAATTACCAAATTTCGAGAAATGATGTCTATTCTAACCTATCAATTAAAAATGAAAAAAAACGGCCCGATTAAGTTGGCCCCCCACCAAACTTTTCGTACTTTTTTAAGCTATTCGTAATAATATAATGCTGAGTCACAGTTCATGATGATGATGGTGGCACCCTATGTACGCTACATTACATGTCAAATTTTATTTTTTTATACGGAAATTACTAATTTCATTTTGTATAAACTAATCCTTACCACCACAAAAGCGTAATATTAGAACAAAATTATGAAAGACTACTTTAAAATGTAGTAAATACTGCGTCAATCGAGAAGAAGTATAAGAAATATGTCGACAGTATACTACCTAAACAGGTTCCGCACGCTTCGAAAAGCGCTACAAAGAAAATATAATAAAGTTGAGCCTAAGCCGCGTTTAAAAAATGGGATCATATATAGAAGTACTTGAAAAAAGGTAAAGGGATAATAAAGCTCGCAAAATGCAAAGCAGGGGATGACTTTTCTGCGCTACCTGCGAAGCTAAAATGAAAAAGATTTTACAAAAAGGTTTTGTACTCCTTCGCCCCCCAACCCTAAGGTGTATATATGTATATAATAAATAAATAATATTTTCTTGCCTTTAGCTGTGTATTTTTTCTAATTTCGAAAAATCGAAAGTAGAGAAAAAATTTAAAAAAAAATAAAAAGTAAAAAGAAAATTGTTTTGCTTGTCGTAAAGGGGGGAACCAAGCTCCACTCCCACAACCGGTTTCTGGGCCTACCCTTCATCAGGTGGGCTGTCCAGGGGCTGTCCAGGTGCTGGTTCCAGGCCGTATCGGTGAGAACCAGCAATTTTTTTTTCTTTCGACACAATTAAAGTATTTAATTTTAAAGTTACAAAAATAAAATATACAAAAAAAACAGGTTAGAAAAATAAATAAATCAATTTAAAAAAGGTTAAATTCAGTCAAAAAACAAAGCTGTGAACGTATCTGTTAGGTAAAACAGTAGACAAGGCCAACAAAGAAGTTTACTGTTCATAATAATAATAGATATATGATTAATAATACTATTCTTCTTCTTCTGTACTTCTACTTCTACTTCTTGTTCTTATCTGTACTACAAATGTGCCAATATCACGTTCATTTGATTTACGTTCACTTTGTTATTTAGAAATTGGTTAAAATATGATTAATTATTGATATTAATAAAATTATGTGTAATTTTCTTACCATCATTCTCATTTAAAAGTTCTGTTATACGTATTATCAGATACAATACTATAAACTGATCTATACTCACAATCCACAATATAATGAATTAATAATGGAATATTTACAGACCTGAAATTTGGTTTTAATATAAACTTTGTTATTAATACTGATTTAATATCAAAATATAATAAACGGTTTTATTCAATTTACGAAGTAAGATAGGTTCAAGCCGCTTTCTCGGTCAACATTTTCGTTATTATTTGCTATGACTTATTAATGTAATCTGCTTATAATGCTTTTGTGACACAGGATTACTCTTCAATATTAGTTAAATTTTAATTGGATTTTCCATATCGATAATTTGGTTTCTCCAAATTAGCAGAAATGATTTATTTAATTACTGAACAGTATTTTCTGTCTTTTTGTTTCCATACCTACTGTGGATTTAAAAATAATTTATTAGTTAAACATTTTTAAGTAACAGTAATTAAATTTCCTAAGTTGGCCTAAAGTTGGCCTATACAGGGTGGTCCGAATTGTATTCCGGAAATTTCGGCAGCATATTCTGCAGATAAAAACAAGCAAAAAAGTTTGTATAAATGTATGTCCTAAAGTGCTTAATCTCGGAGATACAGGGTGTAGAAGTTTCAATTTTATTTCGATTTTTTCGAAATAGTTTCTGAAGTAACGTAAATATTTGGATGAAAATTGGTGTTTGGGAGTTTTTTAACATGAGAAATTTGATTTTGAGGTCAATATGACTCCTACTGGTAGAGGGCACCACCTATATGTGTTTTAACTGTTTTGAAGCTTAATAACTTTTTGTCCGTACCTGTATAAAACTACCGAGGGAAAAAATATACATCTCTGTGACTTTTTACGTAAAAAATATCTCTTTGTAAAAATCGCTACGAGTAACCGTTCTCAAGATATTTAGAATGGAAATAGTCAATACATGTCATTATTGACGAAAAATAAACACGAAATTTTTATTTTTTTAAATTAATCATAAATTTTTCTGCAAAAAAAAATGTTGATAAAACAGTTTCTGTTGAACTTATGACACAAAAACTTTCAAATTTATAATATCAGTCTAATAACTATTTAGTGAACATGTTTAATGTATGTCTATGATGACAGGTATTGATAATTTCGATTCCAAATATCTCGAAAACCAATACTCGTAGCGATTTTTACCAAGAGTTAAAGTCTATTTTTTTAATCAGTAGTTTTATACAGGTACGGACAAAAAGTTATAACTCTTCAAAAGATTTAAAAAATATGTAGGTGGCGCCCTCTACTAGTAGGAGTCATATTGACATCAAAATCAAATTTCTCATGTCAAAAAACTCCCATACACCAATTTTCATCCAAATATTTACATTACTTCAAAAATGATTTGGTAAAAATCGAAATAAAAATGAAACTTCTTCACCCTGTATCTCCGAAACTAAGCATTTTAGGACATACATTTATACGAACTTTTTTACTTATTTTTATCTGCAGAATATGCTGTCGAAGTTCCTGGAATACACTTCGGACCACCCTGTATATCTCACAAGTTATCAACTAATTTAAAAATACTATGATAGAATGGATATGAGAATGTGCAATTAGTTTTTTTTGATTTTTCTAAAAAGTAACGACAGGAAAAAATAAAATTGATTTTCAAAAAAATCCGTTTTTCTCAAAAAATCCCTGAAATTTTTGAAACTTTTTTGATAGTGTGTTGGGAAACATCCCAAGGCAGAAACATCCCAACTTTCCCCCAATTTAACCATCTCCGTATCTATTACTGTTTCTGAGATACCAATGCTCGTACCTCGCATTTGTATTACCCTGTATATTGCTGTACAAGTATGACAAAATATTAATATTTTTATTTTTTATGTTAAAAACACTAAGCGATAGAATAACGAAATACTAATGTCAACATTTACTGCAATTAAAATATACTATCTGCATTTTTAGCTCTTTGAGAGAGCATAAGCATTTGTATGAGCATAATATGTTGTAGAATGTAGAATGTTTAGGAGGGGAGTTAATCACCGCGACCTTATAGATTTATTAGGTCTGTTCGTTTTTCTGTTATTATCGATTCTGAATCGTCCTAGAACTCTCCAGCGCATGCGCAAATGAAATAATGTCTTCATATTTCCTTCGGCGCATACGCATCACAATTCTAGGACGGTTCAGAATCGGTAATAACAGGAAAACGAAAAAAGCTATTCTGTGTTCCCCTTTCTTGAGTTATAACGAGTTATAACTCATCATACAGTATCAGGGCTTTAACAAAAGCCAGTATCTGAGACGGCTCCACAGAGGCCAGCGTAGTGGCCTCGACATCAGCCTTGACATCTTCGACATCAGACGTACCAAAGTTCAAGGCACGAATGGTCGTCGTCTCGGCGCACTCAGTGATAAGGTGTTCTGGTGTTTCCCCATTTTCCCCACAGAATCTGCATTCGCCGTTGTTTCTCAGCCTACTGAGGTGTTCGTTGAGGAGACAGTGTCCTGTTAGAAAACCCGTAACCCACTAAGGGGTATATTCCACATCAGAACTTACTAAACAATATACTAATATCATGTTTGTTTTTCCTTTAAAATTAGTTAATTGAGAAGTGTTTCTATAGAAAAAATCAGAGTGCGTAGATTAGATAGGCTAAAAATCTTCATATAAATATTGTGCAAATTACATATTTACATATAATATACGCTTTCAGTATAGATATTAAATCATAGATATAAACAATGAAAATAATCGGTAAGTCGTTAATTATATTAATTGATATGCGTTTACCAAATTAAATAGTATTAAAGAAATACATTAGTGTTAAGTTTGATGAAATTCTTGTTGTTAAAATTGTGTCTTTTATCGAAAAAAGTTCTGAGTGCATAAAATTTCTTAGTACAAAATTTATTTAGCAATTTGCGAGGGGTATCTTTTGGATATAAACATTACTTTTTTTTTTTTTAATTTAGCTATAACTCTACTTTTATAATAAAACTTCATTATAGTTGGGTAATGGAACCTTTGGTGTTACTAGAGTAAAATAAAACGCTAATTCACCACAATACACCACAACACTTTACTTTTAAACACTGGACGCGTGTTTTTAGTTTTAATCATCTAATGATGATGCTAACATGGTTTCCAGCGATCGCGACTTCGACCGCATAAAATTCGAATGTTTTATACATTCCTTTTATGATCGGAACTTAAAAAAAAACAGGTGTTATACAGACATAATCTAATGAATTTTATGTTATCTTACTCTATTCTTAAATAATTAACAATGATTAATCTGAAAAATGTAGTTGAATCAAGTATCTGTTTGTTCTCACATATTTAATAATTTATTTAATAGTTATGCATTAAGTTTTAAGTCAATTATGTTGTAGTGTTTGGAATACACTTTACTCCACTCTATTTTTCTATTTAACTTCTACTGACAATTAATTTTTTAGTAATGATTCTGATTTAATGTGTACTTCTATCGTTTTTGCCACATTCCAAAGGCAAAAATACCTCGCGCCAATTGGGCCGTATTTTTTCGGATAAAAATTTTCTAAATCTTCACCACCTATGTGTAACAACTGAGTGGGTTGTCCTCTCGGCTGACGTCGATTCCGAATTTTCTAGATTTATAAATACCTTGTCTAATCTGGCTTGCAAGGCGTTTCCTCTTAGGCCTATCAAAAGTAAGCAAGGTATACCCTGGTCTACAACCGGCTTGCGTATATCTGCAAAGAACATGCGCTTATTATCTCACCTTAAAAAATTCACAGACAGCGTTTTCTTTCATAATTACGTGAAACTTTATAGAAGGGTTTATCGTAAGACTATAAAAGCTGCCAAGGACATTTATTATAATGGGAGGCTAGCCAAATCCGGTAATGTTGCTAAAGAGACTTGGGCTATTGTAAATGACTTAAGGAATAATTTCACCCCCATTGAAATTCCACAAATCGCTTTTTAGTGTTCAGTTACGCCACTTAAGACACCTTTATACAATATTTCTTACTTCTAGGTTAAATTTTAATTTTTTATATCTATACAATATTTACCCTACCATTTCACCCTTTTATAGTGCGAATTTCCAAATATTGTCCCTCACTACCCAATTCTCTCACCTAATAATCACAACTCTGTGTACAAGTTTATACTTTTAGAAGCGATGTTAACAAAATTTTCGCCCCTAATTTCACCCTCTTAGGGGATGAATTTTTAAAAATTACTTTCGGAGTACGCACTTTTGTAACTTAAGGGACCTTTATGTTAATAGTAATTCTCCCAGAACTGATTTAAAAAAAATATATACAAATTTTCATCCCTCGTTTGAGGATGAATTTCCGAAATTGTTAGTCCGCTAAAGGATTTCTGTGCAAAATTTCATACTCCTAGTACAGATTTTTTTATTATACAAAATTCACCCCTCATTTCACCTTCCGTAGGAGACGAATTTCCAAAAATCACTTTGTCCATCTCCATTACATCATCTAAGGAACATCTGTTCAAAATTTCATGCTTGTAGAACAGATTTTAACAACTTTTTATGCAACCTTTCACTCCTAATTTCACCCCTTAGGAGTCGAATTTCCAAGAATCCTTTCTTAGTGCTTATTTACATAAAAAAAGGAACCTATGTGTCAAATTTATATGTGTCAATCAGCTTTGAGTTTAATATTTAGAGAAGATTAAATTATCGTCTACAGGTTTCTGTATATGATACTTTTCTTTTTTAGCTTTTTTCAAAATTAATATAATGGAAGCTAGAAAATTGCACGTGACTCTTCTTACAATATCTACAATAAATATGTTATTGATATAGAATGGTTTAAGAGGGGGACCGCGACCTTACAGATCTATTGTGTTGTGCTTTACAGATCTCTTACAGATCTATTGTGTTGAGCTATTGTCTCGGCGCACTCAGTTTGTTCTTACTTAAATCAAGGAAAATCTTTCTGAGGAATATTTCACCGAAGTTCTGAGGAACTTTTTTGAGTGTCTTAGACCGGTTGTAGTAGTCTACAGGGTGTTACGGTGTAAAAAAGCGTATTATTATGTATTACTAGGGGTAATCTACCCAACACTGCATAGCCAGAAAGATTTTATGTAGATACCCATATTTGTTTACGTAAACCCAGATTTCAGGTTTTTTATCTTATTTAATTCTCAATAGGTCTTTAATAGGACAATCATAACGTATAACCCTCGGTATAACCTTAGATTCGAATTAAACATGAATTAAATTATATTTATTATATTAAATGTATTAAACATATTTACATAATTATATTACTATTAATTATATTTAATATTTAAATTATTGCATTTCCTTTGTTTTTATAAACTTTTATCATACAACATTAAAGATCTTTTTACCAGATTTTTATTATATTTTTCAGTATTATTACTACTAGCCGTAGTATTAGCTTCGGCGGATCAAACAGCACCTGGAACAGCATCTCGCCCAATCTTGACAGCATCAGAATCAAATTATTTCACTACCGCAACTTATCTTCAAGGATGGTCGCCACCTTCAATTTCAACGAGCAAAGCTGATTATACTGTTGGTAATGGCTACAATACAATACAAGCCGCTGTGAATGCTGCTATTAATACAGGAGGCACCACAAGAAAATATATTAAAATTAATGCTGGAACATATCAAGAAGTTGTTTATATTCCCAACACAAAGGTGCCTCTTACGATTTATGGTGGAGGCAGTAGCCCATCAGACACACTGATAACATTGAACATGCCCGCTCAAACTACTCCATCAGCTTATAAAAGTCTTGTTGGGTCACTTTTTAATTCAGCGGACCCTGCCTATAGTATGTATAATAGCTGCGCATCTAAAAGTGGCACTATTGGAACTAGTTGCTCTACAGTGTTTTGGGTTAAAGCACCAGCTGTTCAAATCGTAAATCTCTCTATTGAAAATTCGGCTAAAAATACCGGAGATCAGCAAGCCGTCGCTCTACAAACTAACAGTGACCAAATTCAAATCCACAATGCCAGACTGTTGGGTCATCAAGACACACTGTATGCTGGGTCAGGAAGTTCCAGCGTCGAAAGGAGTTACTATACCAATACCTATATTGAAGGAGATATCGATTTTGTTTTCGGTGGTGGATCTGCTATATTTGAAAGTTGCACTTTCTATGTAAAAGCTGATCGTAGAAGCGACACTGCCGTAGTTTTTGCACCTGATACCGATCCTCATAAGATGTACGGATATTTCGTTTATAAATCTACAATTACAGGAGATAGTGCTTGGTCATCCTCAAAGAAAGCATACCTAGGACGTGCTTGGGATTCTGGCGTATCCTCGTCAAGTGCATACGTTCCAGGAACTTCACCTAATGGTCAGCTAATTATAAAGGAGAGCACCATTGATGGAATAATTAATACTTCTGGGCCTTGGACAACAGCAACTAGCGGCAGAACATATTCTGGAAATAATGCCAACAGTAGAGACCTTAATAATGACAACTACAATAGATTTTGGGAATATAACAATTCTGGAAACGGTGCCTAATTTTATAATGACAATTTATAGTAATAAAATATTGAACCTATATGATATATAGTAGTAATTTGACTGCCTACATACTACATAGAAAGATATATTAAAAAGCCAAATAATTCAGCTACAAATTGCTTAAAATATCATCAAAATCGGCCAATTAGAACAAAATATATCAAACTTTGAAATATATAAAAATTTTAAGGTGTCTTTCGTGCCGGTGAATAATTATTTAATTTAATTTTACAATTTATTTAAAGAAATAAAGATAAAGCTGATAATTAAAAAAAGTAATCATTGTGACAATACACTTTCGTATTTGTTTGTTAAGAGCAAATAGTTAGGCATTCATCGATATAGGAAAATTTGAATATTTTTTCGCAGTATAACTTTTATAAATATACTAGCGTGTACCGGCGACTTCGTTCGCGTCGAATTAATCATTTGTCATGGTGATGATAAAGCAAAGCAAGAATTTCCATTAACATACAAACTGGATAAAATTTTCTCACATTTATGTCAGCATGAGAAAAAACAATATGGCGATATTATTATATAACTTGGTAATATTTAGGGGTAGTTTCATCTCGTTGGAATTTGACTTTCGAAAAATCCGTTTGCCAAAAATAAGCTTTTTACGTCAAGCAGTTTAAGCAGAATCGTGGTTAAGAAATTACCCAACTTTTTGGAACACCCTGTACGATTTTTTAAAAGATTTCAAAATATATAAAAAAACAAATAAATTATGCTTGTGCAAGCGTTTTCCCGAAAGACTAACCGTTTTTTAAATAACAAATATTGTAATATTTGAGGGGCGTTTTCACCCTCTTGGAATTTGAGATTCGAGAAACCCCTCCTTATCGAACCTCTACACCCCACAGTCAATCCGTTTGCCAAAAATCAGCTTTAAACGTCAAGCAGTTTAAGCAGAATCGTGATTACTCAATGGTCATATTTTATGAAACAGCCTGTATAAATTTATAAAAAATCTTAAAATATGTAAAAAACAAAATAAAATATACGTGTTTAAGAGTTTTTCCGAAAAGCTCACCGGTTTTTAAATAAAAAATATTTTAATATTTGAGAGATAGTTTCACCCCCTTAGAATTCGAGTTTCGGAAAATCCCTTCTTATCGAACCTCTACACCCTAAAGTCAATCTGTATTCCAAAAATCAGCTTTTTACGTCAAGCGCTTTAAGCAGGATCGTGATTAATCAATGACCAGATTTTTCGAAACACCCTGTATACATTTTTAAAAAATCTTGTTTAAAGTTTTTAAGCGTTTTTTCGGAAACTTGACCGTTTTTTGATTAGAAAATATTGTAATATTTGAGGGGTGGTTTCACCCTCTTAGAACTGGAATTTCGAAAAATCCCTTCTTATCGAACCTCAACACCCTAGAATCAACCTGTATGCCAAAATTGAGCTTCTTACGTTGAGTGGTTTGAGCAGGATCGTGATTAATCAGTATGTCACTCACTTAAGGGTTTTATATATTAGTATAGATAGTTCTGACACAAATTATGTGGTTCTGATAAATTTAAAATAAACTATTTTTCGACATGATGTCGAAAGTTCATGATTAAACTGCCTATGAGTTTTCTAAATAAAATCCTTTTTTTACTGATACATAAATGCAGCTTTAATATTTTTATACAAAATTCCCAGTAATATCCGGTCCATTGTGAGATTGATGACTCCTTGAATAATTAAATACATGGTGAAAGACCATTAAGGGGCTGATTGAAGTATGCTTGGATAATTCAAACCGCCGGAGTCGCGCCGCGAACTTGGCAGTCCATTTCTGAAATAGCTATCGAATAGTCAATATGTAAAGAGTATAAAAATGTTCAGATATTTCGATCAAAGGAAAAAAAATCTTACAATTGAATAAATTTATTATTCAATATTTTTATCCAATATCAGAGAAAATTGATATAATTCTATTAGTTGGGGACTGCAGTGTGCATTCACCAACTAACAGAATACTAAAATGTTCTTGATTTATCTAGTCTGGACTTTTTTATCGGGATATGTTAAAGACAGTGTTTTCAAAACTCGACCAACTATTGTTCGCAACATGAAAAAAATTATTGTGGCTGCTTTTCCAAGTAGAACTTAACAGATATTCCTCTTAACATGAAAAGATCTTTTGAGAATAGTATAATTTTATGCAGCGAATAGGAGTGGAAGAATTTTTAGCATTTGATTACATCTAGCTAATTTTTTGTTACGCATAATTATACGTTTATATCCAGTTTCAATTCTGTAATAATTAAAATATATTTTGAAAGTCTAACTTTTTATTATCGCTGAATAGTAATAGTATAAATTGACTCTACATATATTAAATTTTGTTGAATTAACAAAAGGTATATCACCAGCCACCAAGATTTATCAAATAATAAAGATCTACTGACGCAAAATCATCAAAATAAAAACACCTTGAAAAATCGTTGTTTAAAGGATAGGCAACCTTAATAGTATTTTGAAGAGATATGAATTCCCCATTTAAAATAAAAGCTTTTAATGGGGTCAATTTTTGGCTTCCCTAATCATTTTAGAGAATAATTCTATTTAGGTTTATTGAAGAACACTAAAACCCACATTCAAAAGAATAACTTCTCTTTTCTCCTTTCTTATGGCCCTGTATTTATTTATGAGCACCAGTCAAGGTAAAAGATAACTGCGTCAAATGAAGTTGTCATTTCAGAAATTTACCTATTTAGTGCTTTATTATTATTAAAAACTCATTCCTACATCGGAAATCTTAAAGATGTATTTATAAATACAAATTAATATGAATTAAAGTAAAATAAAGTAATCAATTACAAGGTTAATTATAGTGCTATTACAATATTCAATAACTTATTAATTTAGGTACTATTAAATTGTTAGAACTTTAGGATTTAAGAAGATGTTCAAATATCCCTCCATCGACTGCTAGACAATAACCCAGGCGATCATAAAATTCTCTTCTTACATTCGCTAGTTGGTAAACTGAAATTCTATTGCATTCGGCACAAATAGCATTTTTTAACTCGTCTAGATTTGGGTATTTTTTATCCTTGTATATCCTGTTTTTAAAATGGCCCCAGAGAAAGAAATCATTTGGCGAAATATCAGGAGCCCTTGCTGGCCAATTTACTGTATGATTTAGGCCAATAACGTTTCGGTTAAAACTATTGTCTAAATATTCCCCAACAGCCAGGGTACTATGTGCCGGGCAGCCATCCATTTGGTACCAAACTTTCTGATTTTCCCTAGCGGCATCATGTAAAGCAGGTAAAATATGATTTTCGAGTAGTTCCAAATAATATTCTGCATTTAAATTTCGCGTAAGAAATAACAGCCCGATAATATTGTGTCCGAATATCCCTGCCCAAACATTTACTTTCTGTGGATATTATGTCCTTGTTTTGACAAACCTGTGTTGGTTTTCTTTGTTCCAATATCGATAATTTTTTACATTGGGTTCATTATTTAAGGTAAACGTGCATTCGTCAGTGAAATATATATTTTTTAAAAATTCCCTATTCGTGTTTGCTCTTTCCATCATATCAAAACAAAACGCCTGCCGCCGTATTTCGTCCCCATCTCGTAGCTCTTGGTGCTTTTCATATTTGAAGGAATAGTATTTATGTCGTTTCAAAATTCGAAACGCTGTAGTGTGATCTATTCCTATTTCATCCTCAAGTTTCCTTGTGCGATCTTTCCATCGTTCTCTTCCACGCACAATAAAACTTCCAAGTCGGTATCATTTCTTGCATCTTCTCTTTGTTCCTGCCTTGCTTCACATCTGCAGTTATTTATTAGGGTACCTTTGGTCTCAAATCTCTGGATATTCCTTGCGATTGTAGATTTTCCAGGTATCGGTCTATTCGGATAGAGAGCAGCAAACATGTCCGACACCTTTTGATAACTATTTCCTTCATAATACCACAGAACAGATACAAATTTGTATCTGTTCTGTGATAATACCATGTAATCATCAATACTTTTTCTTTGGTAGTGTAATCCATGGCTAATATTTTCGATGTAGGTATGAGTTTTTAATAATAAGAATAAAGCACTAAATAGATAAATTTCTGAAATGACAACTTCATTTGACAGTTATTTTTTACCTTGACTGGTGCTCATAAGTAAATACAGGGCCATAAGAAAGGAGAAATATTTAAAAAGAAATCGGCGATAACTCGTAAACGGGCTAATCAAAAATATCTAAAGTTATTCTTTTGAATGTGGGTTTTAGTGCTCTTCAATAAACCTAAATAGAATTATTCTCTAAAATAATTAGGGAAGCCAATAATTGACCCCATTAAAATTTACATGGGATTTCCTATGTCCCGCTCGACGATGCAACACCCGGTATATGTTCGTGAAAGCAGAATAATAAAACAAAAGAAATCTATCGGTTATTGGATATAATTGACTAATTAATACCGTATGCGGGTTGGCTTCCAAAATGTTTTTACATACAGTGAAGAGGCATCAAGTTGTAGAATATACTTAGGAAATGAAGTTGGAATATATAAATCATGATTGTGCGTTCCGAAGACAAACGTAGCTGCGAGCGTACGTTTATAAATGTAGATTAAGAAAATTTACATATATGCTTCTAAACGTATTCTGCGTACGAGAATAAGAGCTAAATTCATGCATTTCAATTTATTTGGCACAGCATATTTAAAAAAGAGTTTAAAATCATAAAGACCTTTATATTTTATTCAAATCCGTTGAAAACTTTTGAATTATCAAACTTTTACATTTAGAACAAGTAATGTCCGCATACGACAAAACTATGCATTGCACTGAAAATGCAATGAAATATATAAAGAACCTCGTAAAGAACTTATATTAAAAAGAAAAACTGAAAATAATGTGTTCAAAAAACATATACTCTGCATTCCATAAAAAAATATACAAATGTGTAAGCGTCTTGTTTTCCGTTAAAAAAATTGTTTATATTAAATTCTGTTTTTTAACAAATAATATTTTATTTGAATCTCTAAGAGAGATCTCTAATTGACTTTTCTTGACCACATCACAATGGAAATT